TTCCGTTCATGCACAGAATGATATATTTCCATTTTACGTGCGTAACTGAATGAAAACTGTGAAATAATGATGAATGATACCCCGCAGGAGGATAAAAATGTGTAGATTCGGATTCTAAAATATACAAATGCTGGTAGAGGTTTTAACAATAGGGAAATTTGTCTCAGCACTGATTCTTTCTGACTAACAATAAGACCAGAATAACTTAGTCTTAATTTACTCGCCAATTCGATGCGCTTTAGTCTACTCTTTTTTCAGTAGCACGTAACCGAAAAATACAACTGAAACGAGGTTAAAGAAAAAGCAATCATGCGCGGCGATTCAGTAAAACGACAACATTCCATTCGGAAAAAATGTAACTGTGTGTAAAGAGGATAATTAATAAATAATGATTAAAAATAATTAAATAATCTATAATAATAAAAAATAATTTTCGAAAAGAGAACGTGTATCTATAAACTTCTTTTCGCTAATTCACATCCGAGATGTTATTGCGAAAATCTTGATTAATGTGTATCTCAACAGAATACGATATCTAAAAGCAATGACGATCGCAAGCAATTTTTATCAAGTCACACTTTTAAAAAACATCTTATATCAAATAACATATCTTTCGACTGAATAATGCATATAACGTAACTCCCATAGATTAATAAAAAAAAAAACAATAACGTTTCATTCAGTTTGAATACCGTTCAGTGATGCTCACCATCGATATAGGTCGCGTGGGCGAGTCCAGCGAATGATCTGTCCTCCTGTGATAAACGCCGCAGGCGAATAAGGATTCCCTGTACATACAATGTCCACAACAAGGGAGACAGGGACACGCGAACTTTTAACCTCGGCACGACGAGTGAGAGAAAAGGGAGATAAAGCGCGAGAGAAAGCACGCTCCACATGCATACACACGCGTGCGTACAAGCTAGCGGACAAATGTTTTTTTTTTTCACGACGAAATAAAGATCTCGTCCAACATAAGAAGGATACAAGGAGAGAACACCGCCGGTGGTGGCCGGTGCGCGTCCGTTCACCAAGGTGGTAACTCTCTTATCGTCCACCCACCGAGAGTTAGTTTATGGTATACATCTTGTATACATCTCACACGCGTAAAGAGTTAAAATCAGGAATCCTAACCGGAATAATATTTCAATCTGATTAGGGTAAACTCGGGTATGATGGCCATAGTTTTTTAAAATGCAAAAAACATACATTTATTCTTGTTACTTTTTAACAATATTTGGGATATTACTTTCACTGAAGCTTAAAGTAACAAATACTATCGAAATTAAAGAGAAAATACTTAACAGAACTTTAATTTTATCAAAATATTACAAAGTATGCATTGGCCATCTTATCTGATTTTTAGGGAAAAGATGGCCATGATATTAAGAAAGGTAGCCATAGTATTTATAAATAAATAGTAAAAATAAAAGTATTAATTATAGGTCACATTGCAATTTACGTATCTTTATTGTGTATGTAATGTTGATTATGGCAGCTTAACTGTAATTTATTAGACATTATAACAGTTTTTAACAGACACGTGCAAAACTTTGCAGATAGTCGAAAGAAAAAATATTAGATAATATTTATAATATTGTTATTTTGAACAGTGTACTCATATGAACTACTGTAAATATTGATTATCTTTAAGAATGACTATAAAGATGCACTATTTATCAATTATTGGAAAAATTATGGCCTATGACCATTTTTTCCGTATGGCCATAATACCCTAGTTTACCCTACAGCCTAATATAAAATTCAATAATTTACTTTTTTTATTTCAACCGATTTTTAGCCGATGGAAAAAAAATTAAAATCATTTATTTATAGTCTCTTTGGTTACAGTTATAATTTTTTAATAGTTGTTTTTTTCATAATTATTCTTTTTCAACGAGAAATATGCATCGTTAAAGAAATCTCATTCTATAACGTTCTTCAAAACAACGAGATATATCTTTCTAGTTGAGAATCAAATCATTTCTCGTCCCCTTTCATCGCGAGACAAGTAACGAGTCAGGATATCACCTCGATGGCGTGGTAATATCGCATGGATACATGCGAAATACTTTATTGCCTGACACGATAGGATCGGGCTCGTTATCTTTAATAAGATCGACTCACATAAAATCGCGAAGAGTATAATAATGGAGCATCGGGAAAAAAACGTCTTACTGCCATTGGACAATGTAAGCCTTGTGGGTGGATGCGTGACGCATCGCCATTTGAGATCCACTGCCATCAATGTATTCCTCCGTCGTAACAAGAACTAAGAAGGAGTAAGATGCGAAATTTAACCCTTCCGAGGATCATTTCGTGCAAGTTTTAATACCGGCTGCGTATTAACTCGAGATTCTCGCCTTAATTAAGGTTCCGCGTTTAAATAGTCTGATTCCTTAAGGAGACTGATTGAGTCTGATTACGTCTCACGTAAGATGCATTAGCTTGCCTGTTCCAGTATCGGTAAGACTTAAAAATTGTTTAATTATTTGACAAATGATGTTCATCTCTTACCAGATGAGTAACTATTTTTCTCAGATGGATGTATAAAATTACATAGTAAAATTAAAAAAATATATCTTACGTTAATAAAACTTCGATAGGATATTTTCTATATATATTCTAAATGAATGTACCAATTAAAGTAAAACACAAATCATAATTTTTTCGATTATAAATTTATAACAGGATATAAAACGAGTGCACCGTTGGCTAAAAGCGATATATATGCAAGCTGATTTAGCTGATACGTGTAACGTTTATACCCTTACATTAATAATATCTTTAATCAATAAATGACAATCGCTAAGAAATGAATGATACGATAAAACGAAGGGTTGCGATGAGTACGTACTCATTATTAAATTTGAGTACGCATCACACGATCACCGTAAATAATCGCCCACATTCGGTGACGCGGTGGTTTATAAATTTCGTATGGCTATTACGCGAGTCACTTAAAATGCAATGATATAAATTAAAAGATCGCCAGTAAAACGATCAATCACGGACCATTCCTCTTTCGCGACTTTGCGCTGTTCTCCTCTTTTTTTTTACTTCTTGTCATTTAAACGACCACCACTTTGCGATACCGCCCTTTACTTTCACTTCAATTTACGAAATATGTATTACGAAACAATCAAATCCAATCGAAATTTGGAATGTAAATATCGGGAATGCAAATAACGTATTCTTCAGTTTTTTTTTTGTACGCGAATCAATACGGTCATTTGAACGAAGACTGATTTTAACAAGAATTTTACGTCGCAAGAAGATAATCCATTCTCGTTTTATTTGCCGCTCCGCAATATTTTCAGACGTTAATAAGTGCACAGGTAATGTGACACACAAATACACGGGTATACAGAGGACATTGCACATATACATCGCAAATAGATTGAGGCCTACTCTCGTCTTTCGCATTGCCCGTTCGGCACGAACAACGATTCTTCGGTATCACCATGAGCCGGACCCTAATATGGAAGCCGTGCTCATTTGGTGCGTTCACGTTTTACAGCTGAAATGAATTTATGGAAAAGACACCTCTCTTCGTCCGTCGGAGCGGGAGAGAAAGAGCGAGAGAAGAGTCGCAGCGACAACGCGGCAACGCCAACGAAACGATAAATTTACCCCTTACCGGCTTCTCTGACGCTAAATAGATGCCCGCGCTGCCGTCCTTTGACATAAACGCTCAGCATAAATTCATCAACCTTTTGACCGATGGTGTCCGTTGGTGTCTCCGCGCACAATCAGCTTCCTTCACGACGCGTCCTAGAGCGCCGGCTCGGGAAGAATACAATGCTCGGATAGCGCTTTCGCAAACGGGTATATAACAATCTCTCACAAATTGCTCGAATGTCTATTTATTTTCTCGATCTTTTATTATATAATATTTCATTATATTTTATTATAATAAAATATTTTACAATATTTTTTTTATAATAAAGAGACCAATTTTAAAAGTAATAAAATATTTAAAAGGAATCGTCTATAAATGAAAAATTCATTCTCTGTGGAGATACACTCCACTGTTATATTATCAGAAATAATAGAATGTCTAGAAATAATAGAAACTGAATGGCGTAAAAAGCAGAACATGTGGTATTGTGACCACAATTTTACGAGAGAGACGTAAACGCGCCGGTTGTTTCGCCGTATTTATTGCATATTGTAACGCAATAATTTATCCTAATAGCATAAATCAGTGGAAGCAATACTGGTTGTAAATTGGTTCCTAAAGGTTCACGGAGTAGACATCTTCATAGCCAACATTGAATTTCAACATTTAGCTAATGCATAATACCTCTTCTTCAACCGAATTTACATGATTATTGCACGCCCTGGCAAACACTGACAAGCAAATTACAGCTGGACGAATTTGACGACGATAGAGTGAAACGCCAACCGGCTCCGACAGAACCAAGACAGAGCGGCGCGTAGGTGTCGACTGTGATAATGGAGTGAAAAATGAATATCGTGAGGAAACGGACGTACGATAATTCATTCGACACGGTAAACGAGCTGAGAGCATGGCGTAATTAATTGCGTTCGCGCTTTACGCGCATAGATGGCGAGCGTCTAGTTGTAGTAAATTCGCGTGATGAAAATACTTGACAAGGCAACGTCCATTTGAATATGCCTGCTATCGTGAGTCTCGAGTTTCGGAACACAGTCGACGTGCAAATTTGAAATGAGCCACGGTTTGTGTAGGCATAGATGTTAAATTATTATATATAGATTATATAATAACTATATAAAATTTTAACGAAAGAGAGAGAGAGATATTATAACATTAATAATTATTATATATAAGTTTTAATATTATTACATTTTAAAACAATATAATATATATTGAAAATAAATTAGAAATACAATCGATTTGAATGTTTAAGATTTCTCAAATTTGCTTCGTCAACTTCCCTTGTACAAAAATCAAACCGACCCTCTAATGTGTACGAGATAAGAAGAGAAGAAAATTGAGCATTTTTTGTTTGCAGGTAGCAAAGAGGCGGCTTTTACGTACGCAATAAGCTCGGCCGGCGTCACATACGCAGTGACAGCAGCTTGCAGCCGTGGCAACATCACAGCTTGCGGTTGTGAACCGGCTGTAAGGTAGGCTATAAATCCCGTGACGTTTTGCGCACAGCACGCAACGTGTTAATTATAACCGATTAATATCGTATTTTTGTAGGACGAGGAAGGAATTACCGCCGAACGGTTGGGAGTGGGGCGGTTGCAGCGCCGACGTCACGTACGGGATGAGGTAATTAAACTGATAGTTAATTAATTTGCACTATCAGTTCTCGTCGCTTCTTACGCCAGCTTGCTCGCGAACGGCGCGAATACGGCGAACGCTAAAACACGCATAAATTTTAATATTATAATTTAATGTTAGGTTCGCGCGTAGGTTTCTGGATGCGAGAGAGATCGAAGGCGATGCCCGGAGCCTGATGAACCTTCACAATAATAAAGCCGGAAGAAAGGTAAGCGTATAGTAATTAATGATAGCGTTCCTTTTTGTATTTTTATCTTTATAATATTATTTAAAAAAATGCTGATAGGTTTCTCATGAGAGGAGACCAGACACGGGCGTCACAAGTTTATAAAATATGCGTCAGCAGAAAGTAATACTATGTAATGAGCACCATAATTGCCGTGAAGCAATATTAATTACCGTAACTCACAAGAGAAATCGTTTAACGCGAAGATTAAGGTCGTTGGTATTTGACGACAGCACAGCTCTTCGCCATTTCTCAATCATCCTGTCGCGTAATTATATATTCTAAGATTATATAACATCATATTATACAAATGATATACAATGTAATTGAAGTAGACAGATATACTTCCCATGAAACTTAATTTGTTTCTACGCCTAAATGTTTACGCTTGCAAACTGATTACCCGCTATTCGAAGCCCACGATTTCCTTACAAAGAATACAATCAAAGTCTTGCCGCAGAATACAAACTGTCAGTAACATCAATATTATAATTTCCCACACACACACTTAATAATATAAATATAATATCATATATATTTTCTTACATAACATTCATTAAATTTGCGCATTGATTTCTGCGCGGATTCCCATTAGTCCATCATTGCTTATTATTTCTGTTATTAAATTGACAGTTTGAATCCGTTTATGATTATTAATTTGTACATTATAAAATTGATATAATGTTATCAGTTTGTATTCTGTGAATTCTGTATTTTTAACGCGTCGTAATTAAACAAATTGCCCATTCTTAACACATTTCCTTTCACAATATTCTAATCTACCAATTCTATTGTAACGATATGTGCGCAGAATATTTTATCTCATTCATGTTCTATGCTGTCATGTAGAAAATTAGTGAAGAAACAATAATTCAAGAATAATTAATATTATAAGGAAATTAAGTAATCAATCAATTTGTCAAGAAGAGAAATGTTCAATTATATATGTAGGAATGTGTTTTAAGTTAATATTTTATGGAAAATCATTATAGAAATTGAGCCTGACATGTTAACTTGTAGCTATGGGCAACGGATTAGATCGGATAACAGAGTGATAATATCCATAATGAGGCGCGTTCATCGTGCACCAAGTGTATGCAAATCAGACATTACCAATTTTGATTTATCGCCCAATAACCTACGCGGGAAGCCAATTATACCGAGGAAGACAATGTCGGTGATCTGCGATTTGCGTACACATAACTATTTGCTTAGCGTATCTAGATATCTTAATGTTCTGTCTATGGTAATGTCCAATTTTTATTTTGAGAGAGAAATGGGAGGTGGATTAAAGGAGAGAAAAAAAGAGAGAGAGATAAAGGGAACGCAAGAAATTGCTAATGCATACAGGATTAAAATCATTTTTCCGATCTAATAACCTACAGCTCTTTTTTTTTTTTTTATCGTCATCATTCTCACGCGGCAAGGTTGATGATCGAAAACGAGCGTTTGTAAGAAACAATTGCATTACGCCCGAAGGTGAAACGATGAGGGCGGCGCGCCTTAATTGGGGAAAGTTCGTCTCGAGCTTTCGTCTACCTCGATTGGCCCTTATTACAAGCGGGCAATAAAACCTCGCTGTTAGTCTGCGTATGTGCACGTATACGCACGTACGTGTATTCCCAGAGGTAATGATTTATTCTTAACGTTGATCGCCCCGGCGCGCCACATATTTTATGCCTTGAAGATTTTTTAAACCTTCCTCCGTATGTGGCACCAACGCGGTGCGCCGGAATAATTCGAAATGTTAAACCAGTTTCATGCGCGTACGCGTCGTGTCCGCGATCGCACAATGAAGGGTCCCCATTGGGAATCGAGCGTGCGTAGGATTTTGCAGATGAACATTCGATACGATTACAACCGTTTAAGATCACCCTCGAGTTAATCGAAATGCATCTCCCGCGCCAGTGGCGTGGCGATGCGAAATCCGCGATATAATTGTTTCAAAGAACGTTGTAATCGTTCATAAACGCGAGAGAACGCGAGAATGAGTGACTTGACAATTCGAGCAGTCGTGTATTATGACCTGGGGGTCGACCGTGTATCTTGGAACTACGAGATGAAAATTACAAGAGTGAGCAAAAATCACTGGTGCAAAATTGACATTCACTGCAAATCCATGTATGTAAAAAGTGACTACATTATATGCGTATACATTATGTGCGTGAATGTGGTGAATGTTATGTGGTTTTCCGTTTAAAAATAACACCCTACTGCATAAAAAATGAATTCATACATTTAAACGTGTAATATAAGTGTCATTTTTACACGGAGAATTAATCATACACATTTTGTAGCCATTTTTTACACATTAGCAGATTTGCAGTGATGAAATTATAAATATTTTATTGAATTTGCTCACTTTTATAATTTTCATCTCGTTACAAAATATATATAATCGATTCTCAGCATCTATAAAGAATATAGTCAAATTCTCTTATTCTTTACGTATTAAAATTAAAGACTTAGAACAATTTCCAATACTTCTCTACTAACTTTATCTCAAGTAAAATATTTAAATTATATGCAAAATAATTGTATAATAACATTTCTATTTTACATAAGCACGACCAAATGAAAAATATATAAATCAGTGAAATAATGAATAGTCACAGGTTTTTATGAACGTGATGAAAAATATTTTAAAAAATTGCACGCAAGGTGATTAAAACAATCGAATTACGTATAATATTATGACAGTTCGAAGCTCTACGCCATTGATTTCTTCGTAATGGACCCGTGTATATCGTTTGAAAATGATTCAAGCATCAGGCGACGCATTCATTCTCATCGGGCGCATTGTAAGTTTTTGTTTTCATTCTCGTTCCCGCTCTCCAACCAAAAAGGCTCCGATCGCATGTGTAGATTTGAAATTTGCATAGCATACGCGTGTATAATGTAAGGAACAAATCGATGTACACTTTATTAAGCGCACGGTAGAAGTGGTAATCTGTTTCAATGCGATATAAATGCGTTTCAAGACTCTACACAAAGTCTCTGCGATATATTTGGACTTGTAAAATCAATTCAAAGAGTAGCAAAAATTTTTTATTGCTCAATAAAATAAATCAATACTATATATATAAGCAATTTAAATAAGATCTACTTTTCAAATATTGTACTGTATTTCACTTAAAATTAATTGAATGAAAAGAATTAATCAATTATCGGGCGATATTGAAGAGAGTATGTGAAACCGCATAATTATAGAAATTATATTTATTTGTAACATTTTGTTTTTTCAGATAGTCAAGGCTCTTCTACAAACGGAATGCAAATGTCACGGTGTATCCGGATCTTGCACTGTAAGAACGTGTTGGCGAACGTTACCCAGTTTTCGTCAAATTGGCGATGCGCTTATGAAAAAATACAGGAGAGCTAAACCTGTCATGGCCATTACACCACCTCCCCCACCCACAGTTCAGGTAGCTTGTTCTAGTGAACGTCTATTGCGAATAAATCAACGATCAATTTAAAACACGATATTAATTCAATATACATATAAATCAAATTCAATTGAATAACGATTTGGTTTAATGGTGTTCTTATTGCTATTTCCAAAATTTAATGCAAATTATTTGATGTAGCTTATAATTTACAGACCCTGGATGCAATGTCGCATTCAATGTTACCGGAAATGGTGCCCATATTGGGAAACGACGCCAAAACGCAAGGCAAGCCGAACGATCTCGCCAAATCGCGGCACAATCGACAGCCACTGTTGAAGAAAATCAACAAGTCTAAGAAGTACTTAGTACTTTCGACACAGAAACGGTCGAAAGACAAAGATGGTAGCCCGACTATAAGCTCGATTATAAACCCGAAAAGAATTCCAAAAAGAAGCGAGCTAGTTTATCTTCAACCCTCCCCCAATTACTGTGAGCCGAATTTGGCGCAAGGTAGCCTCGGTACGCAGGGCAGATATTGCAACCGTACTAGCACAGGTAAGAGAAAGAACAGTTTCCTGACACAAAGTTTCATAATTCCATGAATAATATGCTATCTTATTAAACATTGATCATTTTTATTTCCAAAAAAATCAGCCTGCTGATTTTTGACAGTTTTTACTTGAAATATTTAATTATCGAGATATTCTACTTAAACGCTAATTCTTCAATAAGAATTTTTTCTCGCTTACGAAAACAGTAAAAAACTTTTTCTGTTTTTAGAAACCGATGGATGCGATTTAATGTGCTGCGGTCGCGGCTACAATACACATCAATTCACGAGAACGTGGCAATGCAGATGCAAGTTTCACTGGTGTTGCCGCGTACACTGCGAGACTTGCATGGAACGCACCGAGGAATATACATGCAAATAATACTATTATCAGCGTACAATGTGTATATAGATTTGCGAAATAGTACATGTAATTATATAAATGTTAGACTTTATCTTCAAGAGTAAAAGAAACAAATTGACGTATGAGAAATGTTAATATTATACGTGATTGCAAAAACAAAACTATATCTATGAGAATATCATAATTTCAAAACTATATACATATATGAGGATTTCAGAATTATATCGAACAATGTTCTTCTTGGTGATGTTAAAGTTGATAGGAAATATCTTGTAACTTTTTCAAGCCTTTATGAAATTCCAAGTTATATGTAGAGGTTTATAGTAGTTAAACATTGGATATTAAAACAATCGAATCTAAAAATGGATCATTAAACGCGTAAACATCGTTCTATATGCTGACTTTAGATGCTGAGAGAGAATTACGCAAGTTTCATCCCGCTTTTATTTTCTATTCTGTATTTAGGGATGGGATTAAGTTCAATACGTATTTATGAAATTTAGTCAATGTCTAAATATCGTTTCGTCGATATCAGGTAATATAAGATAATTAAAAAATAAGTAATATCGAGTTTTATAAGAATTATGGATGCATTTCAGATAAGAAACGTAATCCAATCAAAATTAAGTACCTATACCAATTCATATCGATATTATTTAGAATAGGTTTATGCAGCACTTTACTTGCGAGCTAAATGCTTCCATTTCTTCATCTTGTTGAATGAAATAGAAAGAAAACAAAAAACGAAAAATATCAGAGCTAATCAGTCTCTAATGTCTATTTTTTTATATTTTCTCTCTATCTTGCTTAATGATAAAAAGATAGAAGCATTTGGTTCTCAAGCAAAGTTTCCGAGTCTAAAGTAGTAAAGTTTCCTAGGTCTGTGTGATCTAGAACATATTTTATATAATATCGATATCATTTAGAATGTATTCAAATTTTCAAAAATATACACTGATATTGTTCTAAATATATAATATCAGCGTTTCTGCTCGATATCTACATATGCACTTTTCTCTAATAATATAAATTATTTATCATTAGAATTCTTGCTACAATGCGTAGTCGTATAATGCGGAAATTACCATATAATAAATAAAATTCTGTAGCATCTACGTGTTTTATTATTTCGATTTCTTGTAGCATTTATTTCTCACTATCTGTATTGTAGATATTCTTTACTTTTAAACGACAAATTCTTTCTATTTTTTATATATAGAATTATAAAATAATAAATCTTTTAAAATCTAAAAATAAGATAAAGAAGCTTTTGTAATATTGACGCAATGTAAATTGAATTCATCCTTGATCGGGACAATTTTTTAAATTTAATTGATTAGAATTATTTTTTTAATCTATATTAAAAACTATAAAATATTAAAAATAAAATCATCAATAGTCATTTTATTACTTTCCAAGCATTGAATGAAATATGTCTCGATCTCTAAATGTTTTGTAGTGAAATTCTCTAAATAGAGAAAATTGAGCCAATCTTGAAACGGAGTGATTCAATTTTCATTTTTTAAAAGTAAGATTTTTTTTCTTCAGAAAGTAACAATTCACTTTGAAAATTTTAGAGAACAGATTTAATTAATTTAACTAATTTATAATTATACATATATACTCGTATAAATAATATATTAATTTTATATATAATTATTCTATATTTTACTATATAATTAATATATAATTATATTAATTTATAAATTTAATTAATTATTCATTCATTACACCTAACCAATTAATATTCATAAATCCATCATCTCATCGTAAAAATTAATAGAAAAAAGTATTTACCCATCGACGCGATGCGACGCGACGCTGACGACGCTCTGCCAATAAATCCGAGGTCCTCGTTCCAAAACTGCTCGCTGCGCATGCATTCTCACAAAACAACACTCGCGAAAACGCAAAAACCGAGACCGAACTAATTGTAACAATACCACAATCGCGATACTTCATTACACTCCCGAGACGAAACGATCGACGCATTATGGCGTTCTCGCGTTCAAGTCTAACGACTCGCCAAGAGATTCGAATGTCGCCAACTTCACACCGACGCCGCGCGGATACAACGCGAGTCGAATCAGCAACCGACTGAACCGAGCGAGCCGTTCGAAAATATACACCCGAGATCGCTTGCGACGTAACTCCGAGCTGTAAATTCGACAAAGCGCAGTTAAACGATCGACACCTTCCTTCATCCCGTTACGTAAATCACGCGATCCGTCACGAAAAATGCGCGAACTAGTTACTTTAGTCGTCGGCGCAATTCTCGAGAATTATTGAATAATCGGAATACGCGATACAAAACGCATTTGAATTCAAGTCTCCTTCGAGAAATAATATCGCCCATCAAGTAAAACCAGCGGCAAATGTTAATCTAGTCTATTCCTGTTCTCCTCGAATATATTTCTAGAGATAAAATTAATTTCCTACGCGGAAAACGTCCGCCGCGCAACGAACGACCGGTGATTTGATCCGCGTTCACTCATCGTGCGAATGGCGAGAGTCAATCCATCGCGTAGATGAATAATCCGACAGTTAACGGAGGACGAGGTACCTTTTTGATATCTCCAATGTCATGTAATACTTACCGCGGCGCGTTTTGCGATGTAATACATGTATATACTACGCAGTACGCCAGTACGCGCGGAGCGGCTCGCTCGGCTGCCTGCCGGCTCGAATGGCGCGACGGAAATGATGACGCCGATGACGCGGCGACCTTCCTCGTAATACGCCGCGCCCGTTCGAGTGGCGCGCTAACTGTCGCTCGCCGACAATAACAAGGATAACTTTCAATTTTCCTATACAATTAATCTACACCGAATATTTCGTTCCTTATATTTCGATGAACGGACTATTATCGTATACATTGCGAATTGCGTTTTATGAATTCACTTTTTATGTATCGTCTAAAACGGTAATTAGTTATTACATTCATTTGAGAGCGTTTAAAAATATATGGAATATAATCATTAAAATATACATATAATGTAAAATGTTTGTACAATATATAAACAAATTTCACATGTAAATTAATTTTAATGCTTTTTTTAAATATAAATATAATTTTGAATGATTACTTGAGTTCTGAAAAGAATTGTTAAAATTATGAAAAATTAATGTGTAATTAAGAGATAAAATTTATATACATTTTAAGGAAAAACGTATTTATTTATATCTTTTAATATTCTTACGTGAAAGTAATTTTTAACTGTTAAATCAAAATTAATTAATTAATCAATATTAATTAATTAATTAATCAAACGATAATTTTAATAAATCAAAACGGTTTTAGCAACACAATTTCATTCTTTTTTTTTTTAATAATTAAAATTGTACAGTTTTAATGCTCTCAAAATATAAAACACTGGAAAAAAAAATATAAATGCTAAATTAAATGTTGTAAATTATTTTCTGATTAAGACGAAGATAAACCTTATTTCTTGAGTATGTATATTATCATTGACATATCATGTTTATATTAAATTTGAAAAATATTAATTTCAAAACGCGTTGAAGTCCTATGTACTTTCGTATCTTCACAAACAATTTTTTTAACTTATAACTAATTGATTATCATATAGAACAAATATCATTGATGTAATCATTATCCCATAACATTTATTAACTTCTTATAAATGTGTATAAAATATCTTACTGTGGTCCCTGTGTTTAACAATAGTAAATAAGTAAAAAATATATTAAACATGTACGTAAACATCTATTTATATAAATACATATATGTAATATATATATATATAAAATAAATATATCAATTACATATACATATAATTATAGTCATGGTATAGAAATAAATATATCAATTACATATACATATAATTATAGTCATGGTATAGTCATGGTATCATTCTAGTATCGTAACAATAAATTTATTTTTTAAACAATAAAAACGTTAAAAATATCCAAATTCCCCCTTGCATTTAAAAAATGTAGTTTAATATTTACCTCTACTATTTTGAAATATTGTTTAATATTTTTTGTGCTTCTTGTTTCGCTTGCTGATCTTCATCATTTTTTGCAGGAAATTCAGCAGTTTTTTTAAAATACTTTATCGCGTCTTCCTTACGATTCAATTTCAAATATGTCTTTCCTAGCATTAGTAAATTGTGACTGTAGAAATTTGGATCAGTTTTTTCAGCAGTCTCGTGATACATCAACGCTTCTTCAAATGTCGAAGTTGGTGGTTCTCCAAATACGACAGATGCTATTTTTCGTTGATACCACGTCAGATTTGAAACCTCGTAGCACCAACTTCCAAGCATATAAAGTAACGTTGCATCACTAGGGTTTAACTCTAACGCTCTCTAGAATAAATAATAATAATAATAATATTTTAAGATCATAGTGATGATTGGTGAGATTATTTTCATTTTTGCACTATCTATAAAATATAATATCTCACTATTTAAATTGCAAAGTAATATCCATAATTAAAGCAATTATTTGTCAAACATCTTACCAACATATGTTTTTTAATATTATACGATTCTTTTATATGTGCCTTTGTACCTTCCAAAATACTTTTCTTATTAAGAAATATAGATATCCATTTATGCAAGGCGTAGTGATCTTCTCGAATATCAAGAGCTTTACATAACAAATCATATCCCTCATAAGTTAACTTTTGTGCTTCAACATCACTGGCCATTTCAGACATTTTATAAATGGCTCTACTTAAACGCCATAAGATTTCAACATCCTTACTGTCCTATGTAATATAAAAAAAGACATTATAGTTATAGTAAGTTGCACTTACAAACATATACATTATAATTGTGTAATTAAGTGAAAATGTAAATGCATTATATCAGTCAGAAAATGTACCTTATAGTTTGAGAGAAGATTATATATATTTCTATAGTTTCCCTGATCGAAAAGCGTATCTGCTTTAGCAAGAAGTTCTTTTGTTGCAATTTGTGTTTTGTCATCACTATTGCTTTTTACAAATCCCCATATTCCCATTACAGTAAATGGTGGCATTATTGTTAACTTTCTAATAATTTGCATGTTGTTTTCCCACTGGAAAAAAAAATCTTTAATTTATTAATAATTAATTATTGTTACTATTGCTGTTACATTTTATATTTTGTATTTACCTTACATACTGGATGAATATTTTTATATAAAGCAACTCTTCGAAGAATTCTGTTGCAGTTTGTAATACGATATAATCTTTGTAGCATTTTGGACTTAAATTTCTGATATCAATTGGAAAATTCTTATTTAGATAAAGATTATGTGATGAATTAGCAATAGCATTTTGTACTTAAATTTCTGATATCAATTGGAAAATTCTTATTTAGATAAAGATTATGTGATGAATTAGCAGTAAACTGAAACTAAGGTTATAACCTACACAAACCAAGTTTAATTTGTAGGCTGTATATAGCCGTTACACAGAAACTATATCTTAATCAGTCATCAGAGTAGGTCACAATATTTTTCAAACATTTATCATCACACATAATGTTACACGTATAAATTTTTATATATGCATTGTGTGTACTATCTGCAGCTTTCTGCCAAATGCTCAAGTCAATGCATTATGCAAGAATGCAAGTGTACACAATCAACACGAATCATCTGTGTGTATGACCATCTGTAGATATATCTGGCATACATGTACATGTTGTGTGTTAATGTGTAATACAGCAAAGTGCATCCGAGATGAATCCGATAAGTGAGATAAATACTTAACATATATGCATTTTTTTTCTACAGAATCTACATATGACATCAATAGAACCTAACACATGTAAATTAAATATGTAGAGATACGGTGATTATAAATTCAAAACCTTGAACTTGAAATATGATAAACGCATTTTTATAAAAATAATATTAATTTATATCATACTAACAACAACGTAATATCAAATAATAGTAAACATAATAGTAAACGTTGAATAAACATAAGTATAAAATATCAATATAAAAATAATTTTAAAAAAATACAAAAAAATATTATATATAAAAACATTTTAGTTATAAAATATAAATAATTATAAAAACATTAATAAAATATCAGCTAAATTTTATTACAAGTGAAATAGATCAATCGCAATTATTTTCGAAATAAATAGACAAATTAATGCGATGAATTAGATTTTTATTTGGAAGATACACAGGTATATTGATAGGATAGTTTAACGTAATCGAGATAAGGGGGGTTGAGTGGATAGTGATTAAACACAAATGTACAAACGAAATACAATAAACAGTACGTTTCATCGGTGTGGTGCGTGGCTTATTGGCGGCGCAATATAAGAAACATATTCTTTCTTTCTTTCTCTCTCTCTCTCTTTTCTTTCTCTCTTCTCACGTCTTCTGGGTCTATTTAATAATTGTACAATAAACTCGACTTATATGCTAAAGCCTCACACACTAATCGTTTTTTCCGTTTTTTTAAAAATAATCATGTTTCTTTACTTTTCGTAATAGAAAAAAAATATGGTAATGCGTTACATCGTAAACGAAGGCATTGCACCGCAATCTCTTTCGCTTAGCCGTAGCTGTGTGAGCGCGATCATCGAGAAGAATTTTGGAATCACCCAGAAAAAACAGGAGAAGGAGCGATAACAATTTAAAGCATTATCACGATATATCTTTACATGAAAAAAAAATACGTTTTTTAATAAATTTTATATATATCGCGAATCATTTACAGCTCCTAAATTACTGGTTTCTCGATAAATTTTAGTTCATGTTTCAAACTCAACGTCAGGAATATCATTAGTAGTAGAAGGCATGGCTCAATATATCCTCTTTTTTCTGGTATCTAAAATTCTTTTTTAAATGACGCAAGACAAAGATCGTGCCTATTATACACTTATAATCATCTTAACATTATTTTTAAATACGTTCTTGAGTCTTTACATGAAATGTTTGTATGAGTTCTCGTTTTTTTTTGTATTTTTTATAATAAAATTATTTTTCTAATCTTTGTTAATCAGCTGTTGTTGCCCTGTGAAACCTGCCTTCTGTCATAATATAATAATACTTGCACGGTAGGTTCACACTTCTGAATTTGGTTGATTTTCTTTCATATATCACAATGTTATCTCTGCATTTTTTTATCAACATTAATCCTCTCTTCATAATTACAAACACCAAATTCATATGTAATCCTTTATTTGTTCAATGTCATATTTAAGAAATGTCCTAAGCCGCAAGTACCCGCAAATGCCAGCGCAAGATTTTTCGAATTTTCTTTCATGTCATACTTACCTTTGTACGACACACATCAGATGCAAGTTACGTTTTGTATGTAATCAATAAACTTTATCTTCTCAATGTTACTTGATACAGATGTGAATATGCAATAGATAAAAAACATGTAATACAGTTAAATCTGTACTACAAAAGCTAACGTCCCACTTAATCCACTTAATCGATCTTTTTAATATCAAAGTTACTATATTGTCTATAATATTCTTAAGCATGCAGTACTGCACGGTATCCACTACATTGAAGTTTCATCTCATTGCAAATGCATTGTTTCGACTTAAGCTTTTTCATAAATAGACAGTTGAATCGTAATCGCAGAGCATCTTATAGTGTGTTTTACTGTGCATTTACGCCAGATATAGCGTTCTTTTTTTCTTCCTTATTGCGTATGAGGCTTGCCGCGTGGTGCGTATCCACGATTGCTTCCCCTTTGTCCTCGGAATTGTCCGCGACTAACGCGGTCGTTGCGTGTACCTCTTGATCCACCGCCGCTGCCACGCTTGAAGCCAGAATTATATCCGTTATTTCCTTCGTTGTTGCCCCAAGCACGCTGCTGATATCCATTTTGGTAGTTACTATCATTACGATAATACGTGCCTGGAAAAAAAATTAATGCCATATGTTTTAGCCTTTGGAATTAAAAGATTTATTCAAAATACTGAAAGAATATTTTATGGAAAAAGTTATAAAAAATAATTTAATCTGTTTAATTAAAAATAATATCCTTTTACCTTGTCCTGCGCGACCATTTTGTTGATAATTTCCCCTGCCTCTGCTATTATAGCTATTAGCAGTCCCTCTTCTGCCACCTCTTCCTCTGTACCCACCACGTTGATCAGGTACCCAAGTCTGCTGAGATGTCTGTTGTGACGCTTGCTGGCAATCTTGGACAGACTGTTGCTGTTGATCAGACTGATTCCAATCATTGGTCTCAGTCATCTGACACCAATCGATTGATTCATTTTGTTGTTCCAATGATGGATCGGGAATTTCATTTTGACCATTCTCAATCTTTTCCTGGAAGAATCCGTGTGTCACAATGAAAACCAACAGCGTATATAATTTAATAAATCAATTTTAGGCCAAGAATGTTACCTCTGTGGATGCTTGAGCTTCTTGCTGATGCGTCTGCTCGTTGAAGTTTTGCATTTGACCTTGCTGGGGTAATTGTGCGGTATTTTGTTGCTGCTGTGGTTGTTGAGGCTGGAAACTAGTGGGATGTTGCGGGCTATATTGCATATTTGGTTGCTGATGAGAAGGTGGCATCGGAATCGGTGGTGGTGGATTAGGATTCGCGAAACCAGGAATGTGCGACATATCTTGCGGCGGTTGGTGTTGGTATATGACCTGTTGAGGTACGCCCACAGGTGCATTTGCAAAGTTCTGATTTGTGAAGGTTTGCGAAGGAATAGGCGCATTAACTGTAGGAGGAATGTGTGATACGATGGGTGTTTGCGACGTAACATCTGAATCAAGTTCAGATTCTTGCAAGAAAAAGAAGTTAGGCGTGCCTATAACGTCATTGATACGAGGCGCCGGTGGAGGTTGCTGCTGAGATTGCTGAGCTTGCTGCTGCTGTTGTTGTGGTTGAGGAACAAAAGTAGTGGCATTCGTATAATACGGGGTGTCGACTGGCGCAGCTGGATGAGGTGGCATTGGTTGTGGTACAACCGGTATGGGTCCCGAAACTGGAGCAGCACTAGAAACAATGGGAAGTGTAGTAACTTGAACCGGAAAATTTGGAATAGGTATCATGGATTCCGGTGGAATGTGCCTGTCATTGCCATTGCTGTATTCTTCGTTGACCTGTTCTTGAGCTGTCTGTGTATTAGTAATCTTAGTCTCTGCCACAGTTTCAGTAATCTGTACAAATATAAATCAATCTATTTTATATATATATATATATATATATATATAT